CTGGGGCCAATCGGACTTTGACGTCCGAGTCACTTGTACGACCTTTTGAGCCTAGCCATCTGGCTTTTTGCGATCCAGCCGGCATAAACATATTTGCCTTTTACAGACAGTCGAAATCATTTGTAAGATGACTGTTTCGCGCTCATAAAAAATTAACCACGATTTTATTTTCTTTCTTCCTGTTTTTTTTTTTTACTTTCATTAGGGGAAGGGGGAAATATGTAGCTGATGGGGTCTGTGATATAAAAAAGGATTACGTAAGACTCTCTAGTTACTGCGTTTCTCATATGTTTCAACACTGGCGGTTCTAGTTGGAATTTTGGTCATAAACGCCTGTAATTTTTTTTTTCGTAAGTGTAAATATATATGTGGAAGCCATATTGTTGAATGCAGTGGATCGTGTTTTAGTTTTGCAACCAATCACCCATGAAGATCAGTGTAGGTAAGACTGAGGTAATGACGGCCAGCAAGAGACCAGAAAAACTGGGCATTAACATCAATGGGACCCAGCTAAAGCAAACCATTCAATTCAAATATCTGGGCAGCATATTTATTGAAAACGGCAAACTAGACAGAAATCAATATCAGAAATCCAATGCAGTCAGTTACCAGTTTGTTACTCTTCTAAAACATCTTAGCATTTCCATGAGCAACAAGGCAAATCTCTTCGGCGCCATTTTCCTACTAATGCTGACAGACCAGCGCCAGACATGGCCTCTAACAAAACCCTTGAGCGGAATCTGATTACTTGTGAGATGCCATTTCTGTGAATTGTCAAGGCTTCTTGGGAAAAATGATGGAGTAGTTTCCCATTGACTTCTCCACTGATTCCTTTTCTGTGAATTGCCTAGGTTTCGTGGTAAAGATGATGGTGAGGTACACCATTGCCTTCTCCTCGGATTCTTTTTCTGTGAATTGTCAAGGCTTCTTGAGAAAGATAATGGAGTAGTTTCACTTAATCTTCTCGACGGGTTACTTTTCTTTATTATATTTGAATTGCCATCATTTCCCATGAAAGATTGTGACCCGGTTTAACATTGCCTTTTCCACTGTTTACTTTTCTATGAATTGCTAAGGTCTCTTGGCACAAATTTCCATTGCCTTCTTCACATATTCCTTTTTCTCAGACGTGCCAAAGCTACTTGTGAAAAATAATGAAACGGTTTCACATTGCTTTCTTCACATATTCTTTTACTGTGAATTGCCTAGTCCTCTTGAGAATGATAGCGATGTGGATTCCCATTTATTTCTCCACAGATTATGTCTATGGATTCCCGTGTATTATTTTGATTATTAGTAGTGTTTTTCTCTGTTGGTTTTTGGTTTGTTTTGTTTTTTGTTTTTTTCACCAGGCGTTTTAAACTGACGAGGTATTCTCCTTAATTGACCGTCATTCAGAGCTAGAGTCCAATCATCGCCGCTGTTTATGCAATAGCTTTTGATAAAAGAAAGAATGAATACCTTTCCCGAAGACACAGTAGAAATACAAACGTATCTGCCTTGGCTGGAAGTCGGTGTCGGCTCATTGATTACGCTTTTACCAAACACTCGTCAAACTAGATACTTCTTCTTCGCGTCTGTTCAGAACATAGTCAAATCATGGCTCTCCACAACTTCCTATCCCTTGTCGCCCTTAGCTGTTTCGCTCCCTTTGCTAGGTTTCACGCCCCCAGTCTCCCCATCCATTCACAGAATCTCATCAGCTAAGCGATTCGCATCCGCCTATATCTATTGTCATCATGATGCCCTGTGAGGATTATGTTTTCCAAACCCTCCTTCCTCATGATGTGTCCAATGAATTTCAGCTTCCTCTTCCCGATTCTGAGTGTAAATGTTCTTTCTGTTGCCATTTTCTTTAAGACTTCCGTGTTGCTTAATCGTTCCGTCCATAGAAGGTTCAATATCCTTCTGTAGAACAACTTTTCGGCTGCTGCCAGTTTTTTCTTCATCCATGCGACGATTACCCAGTATCCACTGCTATAGAAGAGGATGGACAAAAGATAGCAATCCAGTACTCTTTGTAACTTGGGTCGTTTCTCTTGCTGTTGACTATATTTCTCTTAATATTTTTCTCGTTTTTTTTTCTTTTATCCTCTTTAAGCGGTTTTGGTTTGGTTTGGTTTAGTTTGGTCTGTTTTACAGCATATCAACCTCAATGGTTTATTTAATTCCAACAAGATTTTTATTACTGGTTTATTTTGTTTTACGGCATATCAACCTCAATGGGTTATTTAATGCCGACAACATTTTTAGGATAGATTCATATGAATAGAATATGTATTCTTTGGTTTAGATTGGTTTGGTTTATTTTGTTTTACGGCATATCAACCTCAATGGGTTATTTAATGCCGACAACATTTTTAGGATAGATTCGTATGAATAGAATATGTAATCTTTGGTTTAGATTGGATTGGTTTATTTTGTTTTACGGCATATCAACCTCAATGGGTTATTTAATGCCTACAACATTTTTATTGCTGGTTTGTTTTGTTTTACGGCATATCAACCCCAATGGGTGATTTAATTCCAACAAAATTTTTATTTTTATTAATTTTTTTTTCAAAAAATGTATTGCTGTTAATAATGTATTGCTGGTAATAATTTTTCTTCAAAAATTTATTGCTGGTAATAATTTTTACAAAGTATTCTGATATTAAAACCTATTTTTACGTTTTCATAGTGTTTTAACCCCAATTTGGGGTTAACTATTTACCCATAGCTGGAACCTTAACAGGTGCTACTACCCCAAGTCAGGCCGGACCTGCGAACACCAGCAATTGAGGGGTGGTTCCACGCTCCTCAAAAACCCCTGATCAGAGACCTTGCTGTTGGACGTAGTTTATCGTCTTACCAAGGACGCTGATGTAGTTTATCTTCGTACCCAGGACGGGTTTAAGCGGTTCTGTAGTTTTCAGTTCAGTGTCATCTATGTATCTTGTTAACATTACGCCCAACGATAATAAATTCTGGTAGGGCTTAGTTGTCTTAGCCGTTGTAGAGACTCAATAAATCTAGCGAGAAGACCCATCCTTGTCTCAGGCCCCTTTATATTTCGGTGCATCTACTCAATTCATTTTCTATCCGTACATGCCGCGTGTTTTATTTTTCTATGTACTGCGACCCTTCATCACGTAAGAGATCATAGGCGATCCTATCCCTTGTGGCCCTGAGCAGGTTTTCTCCCACGGATAAAGGCCCTGTTTACCGTTCCACCATCCCTTCACACAAGCTCGTCAGGTAAATAGCTCTTTGACTTCGCTATCTCCCGTGCGTCTCATTATGCCTTGTGTGTGTTAAGTTTCCCTAGCCCTTCTTCCTCATTATCTGTCCGTAGAATTTCGGCTGTCTTTTCTTGGTTCTTAGCCTAAGAGTTATTTCTGTTGCTGTTTTATTTATGATTCCTTTGTTGCTTACTCGCTCTGTTCATGGAATACTCAGTATCCTTCTGTAGCACAACATTTCTGTTATCTCCAGTTTTCTCCTCATCTGTGAGGAGCTTGTCCAGCATTCACTGCCATATAAGAGGACGGATAACACATAGCAATACATCACGTATTTCTTTGTTTCTAACGATTTTTTTTTCTGTTTCTTAGCAACTTGTTTTATCTTTTAGGATATATCTTTCGTCACTGCAATGGATTTTCAGATTTTCGTATTAGATTTTCCATCCCGTATTTATAAGCGATAATTGCTTATATATATATATATATATATATATATATATATATATATATATATATATATATATATATATATATATATATATGGTCTCCATAAAATCATTGCAAAAAAATTTATAACTTTATTTGTATTTGCGATAGAAATAATTTGTAAAAAGGATTAGAAAAAAGTAAATCTATATTTTTCAAGGTTTTATTGAAATTTTATTTAAGTTTCCACATGTCCTCCATCATTAGCAATAGAAAGGGTAATACGATTTTGCAGTTCACGGAAAATATTTGCCAACTGATTTACAGTAATGCCTGAAATCACATTAGTTATTTTAGCTATACTTAAAACTAGGTACATTAAACTTTATAACATTTTTTTACAGATTATTTCTATCGCAAATACAAATAAAGTTTTAATTGTTTAAAAGCACACACGAACTTTATGGACGCCCTATATATATATATATATATATATATATATATATATATATATATGTGGTATCAAATGACAATTGGAAAAAAATCTTACATTTTGCCGACGCGTTTCGTCTTCCGACTTTTTCAAAGGCAAAAATGAAATCGAATTTGCCTTGAAAAAGTCGGAAGACGAAACGCGTCGGCAAAATGTAAGATTTTTTTTCCACTTGTCATTTGATACCAATCTGTCTTGTCCACAGAATTCATCTGGGAATTTTTATATATATGTATGTGATAGAAATTAGGAGGATTTGAGATAATTATAATTAAGTAGTTCATCGCGTCGAGAAGAAGAAACCTCAACAGAACACATTGGACGGCCGTTTCGTCCTATATTTGGGATTCATCAGCATTGCGCATCCACTACCGAGAATTGAAACCCGGACAGTTACGTTATCAGGCAAACGTCATACCAACTGCACCAACGGGCTTCGGTGACGAAGAGGTAACGAATTAGACTCGATATAGCGCCGCTCGATTACATATTCCCTGGTGGAACTCATCCAAGATTCCCTTACCCGTAGGACTGTGCCCCCCCACCCAAGAGCCACGACTACTATCCCCAAGCCGCTCCATCCAGAACATTAGAAGCCGCTTCAAGCAAGGATATACAAGTGATAGAAATTAGGAGGATTTGAGATAATTATAATTAAGTCATTCTAGAAGAAAATATTCATGAGAATAACATGAAAGGGAAATGAAACCTGAACACAAAGCACTGAACGGCCGTCTCTTTTGGTACTCAGCAGCATTGCACATATACCACCGAGAATTGAAACCCGGACAGTTACGTTATCAGGCAAACGTCTTACTAACTGTTCCAACTGGCCTCGATGGAGAAGTGGTAACGAG